ACTGATTAATTCATTTGCATTATACATAAAATATTTTTAAACAAAACGACGCCTGTTCTCTAAACTTAGAGTCACTCAATGAAGTCTATCCTCCTGCTGTACATTGTACAGTTAACATTGTATAATTGGAATGATCAAGGTACTAGCAAGTCCTAGTGATCACAGAAGGGGAATCGTCCCCACTTTATAAAAAAAGACTAAAACTAGCACTGAAAATTTTATTTGAAATTCTGCTTTTCTGAGTGGGAAAGATCAGGGGGACTGGGTTTTTCTATGATTCTAGACTAGAACCTTCCTCTCCCATTAGTCACTCAGCTTGAGGCCTGAGCAAAATCAGCTTCAAAATAACAAGTTTGGTGACTTTATTGAATAAGAAGGAAACTCTTAAGACTATCAGGAAAACTTGTGATTCAAAAGATTTAGAAGTAATAGTTGTCAAATTCATATTACAAGAATTAATTTTTAGCTAAAAGTATAATAAACAGTCCCAATGCCAATATACTTAAGCCCTCCTTCTCTGTATAATTGTTTACACCTCTTGGTTCTTTTTAGGTTTCAGAAGTGGGTGTAGTTAAGAAAAATGTTCCCCCCAGCCTTCACCCAGGACTCCATAAAGCACAGAGAGGAAGCAGAGACAGCAGTGGAGAATTATTTCACCTGCAGCATTTGTGAGGATGTTGAGACCATTCATCCTCTACTTATCTTGGTTTTAAACCTTTATACTGGGTTCCCCAGAACGGCTCCAAGGTTTTTGAACTGCCCTTCTTAGCATATTTCAGCTTCTACCATGAGTTCTTCCATGTTTATTCCGTCAACATCAGTCCTCTCAAGAAGAGCTAAATATGGGAAGATGGGTATACTGTGGTGGTTTATATTCAAGGGCATAGAATAGAGTGTTAGGAAACAATATGGAAATAATTTTTTCCTAAAATATGTATGATTATAGGCTGGCATATGACTTGACTTCTCTCATTGAAATAAAAAGAACATATAGTTAAGAAATAGGGATGAATACATGACAGCACATTTGAGAGGTAATGAACTTGGGCATATTCTTTGTTACTTCCTAATCTTGAGAACCGTAGTTTGCTGTTCTAGAGGTATCTGAGAGGTTCCAGATAAAAGGAGATTGCCAAATGTTCTTAGACCTTGAGCGTGCTGGATGCTCTAACGTAGGAGAGGAATTTATAACAGAGGCTCACAATGAAGAACCAGACATTCCGAGCGATCTGAGATTTGGCAATGAGAATGCGCCAGGCGATGAGGAAGAAGGCGGTATTGAAGAGGTAGTGAATGTTTCGGAGCCTGGGGAACAGACATATATAACCAAAGTGAAAACAGTGCCAAATACCCAACTATGTTGTCTGAAGCATAAACGTGTCTTTTCCTGGCTGTGACCAGCAAATAATTAGCTCATGGCGTATGTGGCCAGACCTGATGACCTTCTGATTTTTATCATTTATTTCCACAACATTCCTTCTGAATAATCAGATTTCCATAATATTCTCCTGACTAGTTTCTCTTTCTCATACCTCTCTCTACTTTAACCTGTCTTACAAACATGACTAACATAATCTTTCTTAAATATACTTTGACCATATTACCATATCACAAATCCTTCTTGGTTCTTGTTCACTAGAGTGTAGGTTCTAAAGTTCTTAGCTGGCTATTCAAGGTTCCTCTCTATGCAATTTATTTTTCCATCCGTATCATCTCTGCATTAAGAATCCTTTGCTTCTACCAGAATTATACCAGACTGCTAGAATTCTTTGTCCCTTAGGGATTGATGACTGAAAGAAATTTAAGGCAATTGAAGGGCTTGAAGAGTGGTTAAATGATTTGCCCATGTTAAATAGTACAATCAAGTTTCCTGCCTTTTGGGTATTCTTTCTCTTTATCACTTATGACAGGAGGTGGCAGGATCCACATTTGAGTGGATCCTGTACTTACCATGTGTTACTCTGGACCAGTTACCTTCTTGAGCCTAAACAGCTGTTTGATAAAAATGGGATAACCAAAATGACACCTGCCTCATAGAGATGCGGTAAAGTCTAAATGAAACAGTGTACTACAGGGCATAGTATACAGGGAAGGACCTGTAATGTAGTGAATGCTAGAAAAAATGTTAATTCCTCCCCTCCACCAGTCAAATTTCATGTCTGGTATAAAATCAGATATACACGGTAAGTGCTCAATAAATATTAACTGACTGATTATGCTTACCTTTTTAAGTGTTGCTTTGCTTCTGGGATCCCAGCCATATCCTCTTTCAATAAGTACTTCTTAACTCCTAAAACATAATTTTCAATGTACTCCAACCAGTTCAACTGGCACACATCGAAGTTGAATACCTAAAAAGTAAGAAGAGATTATGGATTGCCGGAACCACACTGCTGGACGCTTTGTCCATTCAGTGAATTTTCTTTTACATAAATGACTGACATCAGTTCGGAAGACTTAGGTTGGACCCTCCAAAGGAGATTATTTGAACTGTTATTTCAGAGGCACTAACAATATGGATTAGCATTTACACAGGAATATTTAAACATGGGTCAAGCGCACACATGTGACCTTGAGGAAGTCTCGTGAGGGAAATTTAAGGAACTGGTATTAGTCTGGCAAAATGAAGTCTTTACTTCATTTCAAGTAAATGAGGATTAATTATTTTTAAAAGTGATGAAATAGTATGTTAGGGACCAAAGCAAATTACACATCTTTTCTTTTCCATTCCTAAATTTTGGTGTTGTCCCCTTGGTCTACCATCCTTATTCCTACAATATCACAACTTCGTTATGCAGATTAAGGTAAGCTTTGGGAAGCAAAGCCTTAAGGAACAGCTTAGCAGAACTTATATTCTGTATTTGCTTTAGAGATGTTGTCCATTATGTCCTTCAAATGAAGTCCTTCAAAAAAAACCATGTCTTTTAGAGTTAAGTGGTAGAAAAACTTTGCTTCTCATGGAACACTAGTATATTCTTTCCTCTTGGACAAAGAATGCCATGACACTATATTTTTCTTTTCAATTTGTCTCCAAAAAGCTCAAGAACAAATTCCCTGCTTAACTGCAGTGACTGAGTAGGATCTAGTAGACTCCCTATGGACATTCTATTTTTTCATTCCTATCCTTGACTCATTTTAATACGTATTTTCCCTGGTTTTATGTTTTATTTCTATTTTATTCTTTTATTATAGGTGTTTATTTCAAGTTATCTCAAATCTTTCTGAAATAATTTGGAGTATTAACCAACAGAACAGATGAGATGAACAAGTTCCAGAGAGCTTCACAGACTTGTCCAAAAGCTGAATTGCTTTCCAAAAGTTATTCTGTATCACTGTTTGCATATGTTTATTTTCCACAGTATCACTAAATATTACTTATTCATCTATATAAATAGAGGCTTTCATTTTTATACTATTTCACATTTCTAAGTCCGATTTCAATGAGGCCCTAGTTTGGAATCCTCATTCCATATGGCAAATCAAATTGAATTCTGAGCCACACCAGAGTTTGGCAATTACATTCAACTATTCAGGACTATTACCTTTGCTAAGATATTTTGAAAGCATATGTTAAATCCACTGCAGCTTTGATTTTTTTCCTCCAAATTTTTAGTTATTTTAGGTTAAAAGAGTAAAATATCAAAAATGAAACTCTAAGCTCAGTACCTTTAGAATTCTTTAGATGGGTAAATTCCATGGAGAAAATGCAATCAAGATAAGCCTACATAAAATTTGAAGCTAATATTTAAAATAATTTACAATAGCTTGAGCTTTTTTGTTTCTTTTAATAAGCTGATTTGGATATCATCCATGCATTTCAAATACAAGTGCTTAGAAGAATTTTGTCTATACAAGGTATGTAAACATTTCTGAAAATAGCTCTATTTCATGTCGATTTTAGAGGTACTCAGCAATGATTTGAGTTAAAATATCCCTCTAAATCTCACCTGGTGTATTTAATATAACATTTATGGGGTTGGACTTTGCAAGTAACCCTTAAGTTTCATGACATGAAGTAATACTAGGACTTGGATGTGAATCATGCTCTATGAGGCTGGTATGTGGGAGTGAAACCCTTAGCTGGCAGCTGAGGCTAGCCAGCCATCTAACTTTTACTTCTCAATAGGTCTTGGTTTCTTCTACATGCTGTCAAGTGCAAGATAAATCAAGAAATGCATTTCTCTTTAAAAATTTTAGTGGAAAATGTCAACAAGAGAGTGAGAAATTTAGAGTTTAATTGAAAACTAAGGGTATGCTCAGGGAACACATGACTCTTTGAGAAAAAAGAAGGAACGTGTACAAAGTATAAAAGATTTCTATATTTGTGAATTTCGGAATATGCAAAGATTTCAGTACTTCACGTTTTTGACTGCCAAGAAGCTAATGTAAAGAAATGAATGGCACTCTTGCTAGGCAATTAAAGTGAAGACCTGTCTTGAGAAATAAAAGTCTGAATTGTCTAAGAGATACCATTATAAGGAGGATGGTTGCCATGCTAGAGAGAGGGCGATACTGATGGAGGGAGGTCTTAGATGGGACAGAACACATAGGAGTAGGAGTTAGCTTTAAAAAGATAAGGAAGGAGCTGTAACTTTGGAGATGCAGACTGATTTTACATTGACATGAACAGTGGATGAGGGAATTTATGAGCAATAAAATTATTATTTTTCATTGAAGTCATATGCTGTGGACAGTAGGGGAAAGGTAGAGGTACCGAGGGTTTGTTGAAAAGATAACAGCTACTGGGGATGAACAAAGTGTTGAAACGAAGCATATGAAATATGACTGCTGAGTAGAGTGAGGATCTAAGCAAAGTCCAAGAACTTAGATCTCTTAGCTACATTAACCTTTTTTCTGCAATTGTGTCATTAGCATTGACTGGTTTTTCTTAGCCAAAAAAGAAAGAAAAAATTCTGCATATATAACTAAAACTTCCTTAATTTATCAGCTTTTCAGGTCAAATACTTCTAAATTCCAAATGAGTAAGATTCTCCTGTTGGTCAGGTCAGTGCTGTCCTTACCCTCCGGTCCTCAGGACTCAGCTCGGACATCAGCATTTCTGTATTGTACGTGCTCCATTCCCAAGTCTGTTTGATGAAATACTCCACTAAGGAAAGGCTTCTTATAAGCCGATTCATGAGCTTTGTCATCCTGAGGTAAAGATCAGATAGGAGCAAATATCAGCACACTACTGATGCCTGCTTCCCTGTTCCTCTATAGCAGTGTATGACAAATAATTATTGAGAAAATACAAAAATTATCCCTCTCCTGTGTCCCCCAATTCCTCATTACAACTCTTGTTCTTTTTTTCCCTTGCACATTAACTGTTGAAGAAGGAAAGGAGATGAATCTAAAGGAGCTTGTTCTATCAGGTGTTTCAATACCACCCCACTCCTCCTCTTCCTCTTTCCTACCATCTCTTTCTCAAGAGCAGTAAAAATTTAAAAAACTGAGCCAGACATACAGCCTTAATAATACACTGTTCATTCTTTGCATTCTGAGGTAGACAATTCGAAAACTTACTTTTCTTCTTTATTGTATGTTCTTGGATTAAAAAAAAAAAAATTCGGAGTGACGTCAGCATCATGGCAGAGTGACCTTTCCCCTAAACTCTCCCTGGATAAGATACAACCAAAGTGACATTCACGTACCAACAAAGGACACTCACAACACAAAAGGATGTCTGAGAGAGCCATGCAGCACCACAGCTGAGAGTGGACATGCTGGGGCCCCTGGAGGAAGTGGGGAGAGGTAAGTAGAAATCCTCCCCCTCCCTGTTCAATCTCTGACTAAGAGTCCACACATCTCCCAGAGGTGGGGGGGCAGGCCTCTGCGGGAAAACCATCGCTCTCCAAGTTCTCTCACAGCCTGTGGGAAATTCCCATACAGAGGAGTCATAACTCTTATGGGGGTGCCATCAACATCTGAGCACTGCAGCAGAGCAGAGAGCAAGGGAAGAACAAGAAGCTCCCCAGGATCAGGGAGAGAAAAGAGAAAGCCCCCTCCCCTGCACGCCTGGCACTTCAGCTCAGCCGGTCAGCCAGAGCACTTGTGGATCACAGTGGGCTCAGAAAACACAGACCTTGATCCCCACCCAGTGGCGGCAGGTGGAAACTGCAACCAGATATTTTTTAGGCTGTGGAAAAACAAGCACACATCAGCAGGCACTATGCAAAAATATATTAAATTTCCAGACAAGAAGGAAAATACAAGCACCCAGAAATCAACCCTGAAGGCAGAGAAATTCATGACCTAAATGACAGAGAATTCAAAATAGCTATCATAAAAAAGCTCAATGAATTACAAGAAAACACAGATAAACAACTTAATGATATCAGGAATTTCTTCACAAAAGAGATTGAAACCATAAAGAAAAACCAATCAGTATTGTTGGAGATGAAAAACACAATGGAGGAAATAAAGGAAAATCTGGAATCTTTAAAGAACAGAGCTGACAATATGGAGGAAAGAATTAGCATTATTGAGGATAGGAATGCCGAAATGCTCCAGATAGAGGAGGATAGAGAACTAAGACTTAAAAGAATTGAAGAAATTCTCCGAGAACTATGTGACTCGATTAGGAAATGCAACATAAAGATTATAGTTATTCCTGAGGGAGAGAAGAGGGAAAAAGGAACAGAGAGGATGTTCAAGGAAATAATATCTGGGAACTTCCCAAATCTGGGGAAGGAGCTGGAAATACCAGTGAATGAAGCCAACAGATCACCTAAATATATCGACAGGAAAAGACCCTCTCCCAGGCATATAGTAGTAAAGCTGGCAAAAGTCAATGACAAAGAAACAATATTAAGGGCAGCTAGACAAAACAAAAAATAACTTACAAAGGAATTCCCATCAGGCTCTCAGGAGATATTTTGACAGAAACATTACAGGCTAGGAGAGACTGGAATGATACATTCAAAATTCTGAAAGACAAAAACTTCCAGCCGAGAATACTCTATCCAGTAAAAATATCCTTCAAATATGATGGAGAAATAATGTTTACCAGATAAACAAAAGCTAAGGGTGTTCATTGTCACGAGTCCCCCACTACAAGAAATGCTCAAGAAGGCCCTCATGCCTGAAAAAAAGAGAGAAAGAGGAGACAAAGCTTTGAGCCAGGAGAAAAATAGGTAGATGAAATAAAAAAAATGGCAGCTCTCTATCAGAATAAGTTAGCAAACAATTAATTACCAAAATCAAAGATTAAGGAAAGGAAAACACCAAAAATAAATATAACCTCATCACTTTAAACACACACTCACAACACGAGATGGAATAAGTTGTGACAATAATAACTTAGAAAGGGAAGAGGAAAGGGATTGAATCAACTTAGTCCAAGGAAATAAGAGGTCATCAGATAATGGACTATCTCATCCACAAGATTTTTTATACAAACCTTAAGGTAACCACTAAATAAAGAATCAGAACAGAATTACATATGATAAAGGGAAAACTAAACGAGTCATCATACAGAACTACCAAACTGAACTGGTAGTCCAAAACACATGGGATGAGAAACAAAGGAAATGCAAAAGAACAAGAAAATGAGTGATAAAATAGCAACATTTAGCCCTCATATATCAATAATCACTCTAATTGTAAGTGGATTGAATTCCCAATCAAAAGACACAGAGTGGCGGGATGGATTAAAAAGCAAGACCCCACAATATGCTGCCTCCAGGAAACACATCTCAGCTCTAAAGACAAACACAGGCTCAGAGTGAAGGGATGGAAGGCAATACTCCAAGCTAATGGCAAACAAAAGGAAGGAGGTGTTGCCATACTTATATCAGACAAAGTAGATTTCAAGATAAAACAGGTAATGAGAGACAAAGAGGGGCAATATTTAATGATAAAGGGACACTCCACCAAGAAGACATGTCAGATATAAATATATATGCACCCAACAGAGGAGCACCAAAGTACATAAAGCAACTATTAAAAAACCTAAAAGGAGGGGCCGGCCCGGTGGTGCAAGCGGTTAAGTGCACGCGCTCCGCTGCGGCGGCCCGGGGTTCGCTGGTTCGGATCCCGGGCGCGCACCGACGCACTGCTTGGTAAGCCATGCTGTGGCGGCGTCCCATATAAAGTGGAGGAAGATGGGCACAGATGTTAGCCCAGGGCCGTCTTCCTCAGCAAAAAAAGAGGAGGATTGGCGGATGTTAGCTCAGGGCTGATCTCCTCACAAAAAAAAAAAACACACAAAAAAACAAAACCTAAAAGGAGATGTTAACAACAACACAATAATAGTAGGGGATCTTAATACCCCACTTACATCAATGGATAGATCATCCAGACAAAAAGTCAATAAGGAAATAGTGGACTTAAAAACTGGACGAGATGGACTTAATAGACATATACAGAGCACTCCATCCCAAAACAGCAGACTATACATTCTTCTCAAGCATGCATGGAACATTCTCAAGGATAGACCATATGCTGGGAAACAAGGCCAGCCTCTATAGATTTAAGAAGACTGAAATCATAACAAGCATCTTTTCCAACCATAATGCTATGAAACTAGAAATCAACTACAAGAAAATAACTGGGAAAGTGATGAAGATGTGGAGTTTAAACAACATCCTATTGAACAACCAATGGAACATCTATGAAATTAATGGAGAAGTCAAAAATATCTGGAGACAAATGAAAATTAAAATATGCCAGACCAAGTCAAATACGATGCAGCAAAAGTGGTCCTGAGAGGGAAACTCATAGCCATACAGGCCCACCTTAACAAACAAATAAGTAACTTTAAATTATGCCTAACAGAACTAAAAAAAGAAGAACAAACAGAGAGCAAAGTCAGCAGAAGGAGAGAAATAATAAAAATTAGAGTAGAAATAAGTGAAATTGAAACCAAAAAAAACAGTAGAAAGGATCTAAACAAAGAGTTGGTTCTTTGAGAAAATTAACAAACCCTTAACCAAACTCACTAAGAAAAAAAGACAGAAGGCTCAAATAAAATTAGAAATTAAAGAGGTGAAATTACAATGGATACCACAGAAATACAAAGGATTATAAGAGAATACTATGAAGAACGATATGCCACAAAATTGGACAATCTAGAAGAAAGGGATAAATTCTTAGACTCGTACAACCTCCCAAAACTGAACCAAGAAGAATAGAGAATCTGAATAGAACAATCACAATCAAAGAGATTGAAACAGTAATCAAAAACCTCCCCCAAAATAAAAGTCCAGCACCAGAGCTTCTCCAGAGAATTTTATGAAACATTCAAAGAAGACTTAATACCTATCCTTCTCAAACTATTCCAAAAAATAGAGGAAAATGGAACACTTCCTAACACATTCTACGAGGCCAACATCACCCTGATACCAAAGCCAGACAAGGACAATACAAAGAAGGAAAACTACAGGCCAATATCGCTCATGAACATAGATGCAAAAATCCTCAACAAAATATTGGCAAACCGAATACAGCAATATGTTGAAAAGATCATACACCATGACCAAGTGGGATTTATACCAGGGACACAGGGATGGTTCACTATCCGCAAATCAATCAACGTGATACACCACATTAAAAAACGAGGAATAAAAACCACATGATCATCTCAATAGATGCAGAGAAGGCATTTGACAAGATCCAACATCCATTTATGATAAAAAACTCTCAACAAACGAGTATAGAACAAAAGTACCTCAACATAATAAAGGCTATATATGACAAACCCACAGCCAACATTATACTGAATGGGGGAAGTCTGAAAGCCACTCATCTGAGAACAAGAACAAGACAAGGATGCCCACTCTCACTACTTTTATTCAACACAGTACTGGAGGTTTTAGCCAGAGCAATTAGGCAAGTAAAAGGAGTCAAAGGAATCCAAATAGGCAACAGAGATGTGAAACTCCCACTATTTGCAGATGACATGATTGTATATATAGAAAACCCTGAAGAATCTGTTGGAAAACTATTAGAAACAATCAACAACTACAGCAAAGTTGCAGGGTACAAAATCAACTCACAAAAATTAGTTGCATTTCTGTATACTAATAATGAACTAAGAGAAAGAGATCTCAAAAAGATAATTCCATTTGCAATCACAATAAAAAGAATAAAATACTAGGAATAAATCTAACCAAGGAGGTGAAAGACCTATACAATGAGAACTATAAGACATT